TTTTTTTTTTTTTTTTGATGAAAAAAAATAAGTAAGTAAAAAAGTTTCAAAGAAAGGATAAAGGGAAAAACAAGACAAAAGAAATAATCTAGAAGGAAAAATGCAAAATATCATTGTTTAAATAAGGCTCATGATAATTGGCTAATCGCGTGATAAAGCACCAAATATAGATATATAAACATAATCAAATAGATCATGTGTTATCGTAAATCTTTGACAAATTTATTACTTATTGTTAAGCTTACTAAAAATAATAATTACATAGGTCATAAGGGAATTAGGAGAACCATCTTATGTAAAGTTTTGAAAGGGGGATTCGCTATCAAAAATTGGAGAAGGTTTGTCGGTATCTCAGTTTTAAATATATCCTTCAGGATCATTGCAATGATGACATACTCGTTTAGCAGTAAAGATCATACAGCCATACAAGCTATACACAGCTGGTGAAGCTGAAAGGAAATGACCTTTCACGTGTGAATTAACCATCACGTGTAAGTCATTTGATTGCCAAAAATAGATATACTGTAGATTATACATCGATTCTCTATTATAGGCTGTATAATAGATTTGTAGTATTCAATGCCATTATCCTTATCCTACTAATTACCTATCACCTAATCTTTCATCGACACGGAATAAATAATAAAGAACAATAAGTGAGAAATTGATCTAGTTATTTTAGTACCATTATAAAATTGTAAATCAATTTCCAACCAATCATGCTTTGTAATTCTACTAATAAATTTGACCATTGGTTTTACTAAATAAAATTCATTATAATTATATTTAAGGTTTAAAATGTAATCCAATGAAATTTACTTGGGAATAATCAGAAACCATTTTGAGCAAAAAACGTTGCAGGTCCACATATAACGTCAAGAATCGTAGTATTGTTGTTCAATTGAAAACGGGTATTTACAATTTTCTACATTAATACTTCTATGTTGAGTCCTGTCGGTCTGATGATAGCAATATGAAGGAAATTCCTTGCATCACCTTTTATGATACCTACAAGAACTGGTGCTTAGAAAATGGCGAACCTAAAACACTCAGTAAGAACAAGTTTGGCATGAAGATTAAGCAATTCTTCTCCAAAACCCGTGTAAGACGTTCGGGTGCTTTAATATAATTATTATATTTGTACGATAAATTATAAGCGGAGTGTATATGTTAATTATATAACGAAATTGATTTAGTAATAATATGATCTGCGAAACTTTGTTACATTTAAAGTTAGAATCTAGACCCTAAAATCTTAAAATATTGATTTTTGACAAGTTAAAAAAAAAACATTTATCTCATATTGACGTTATACATCTTGATTTTCAAAAAGATCATATATAACTATTTTACGATAATATATTTTAATTACGGTTATACTTTTCCCATTTAGTTTAGCTCAAAAATTAAATTAACCAAAAGTAATTACGTGTTATTTTAAGAGTCGTACTAAGTTTCGCGGAAGATGATCCGATATGAACTTTAAATTTGTAACTCATTAAAATGAGATTTTATACGAAAAAAAAAAAATATGGCTGAAATAAAGCGCCGATCAACAATATCAACTTCAACAAACTATACTTTTCTATAATAATTTCATAAAATCTCTTTTCCTTCTTATATTCATTCCTTTGTATATCCCAACTCTTTTAAAAATCCATCAACTTTCTCAGCAGGGCGAGCAATGATAGCTTTACCTTTGTCCCAATCAACTAAAATAGGTCTTTGCAATCTAATAGGTTGTTCTTTAATGATATTAGTTAACTCTTGAATGGATTTAGGTTGTTCTATTTTAGTTGTTGCATCTCCTTCTTTCACCGTTCCATCTTCATTTCGTAAAATCTTGCTTAAATCATTTTCAATATTAAGGTATTGAACGATATTTCGTAATTGGTCTCGAGTAAGCGGAGTTTTTTGGTAATCCAATAAGTCCAAATTAAATATACCCGGTTGTTGTTCTAATGTTTTATGAAGAATTGATAGTGCTTTATTACATTTATTACATGCTGGATTATAGATCAAGGTTAAAATTGGTTGTACCATATTTAGTCGAAATGACATTTTTGATTAAGAAAAAAAAAAAAAAAGTACGTGTAAAGAGAGTAACATGAAAATATCTGTCAGAAACCCATTTTATATTATTAATTATTACACAAGAAATAGTGTATAAATTACAACGAATGAGAGTTCATCATTAACTGTATAACGAACGCTAACCAATTTTTTTTAAGAGATAATTCACGTGATTATTTATTGATTATTTAAATTAAATAAAATTCTATTGAAACAACAAAACCTGCTCCCGTAGCAAAGTGGCAATGCGTCGTGCTTATAGGGTAGTAACCTATACTTGAGCAACGCGAAGGTCGCGAGTTCGATCCTCGCCGGGAGCATTTCATTTTTTCATTTTTTTAAATATGGTCAGGATCCACTTTATTGCAGATCTGTGACAGGTTAACACGTCACTTTTCTTAGCCGAGAGGTTGCTTTTTAGCATACATAATCTTTATTATATTTTTTTTACTGATGTAGGTGAAAGAAAACCAGAATTAGTATATATATGTATGTAAATTTATTTTTAACGCGACCTAATATTTGCCTGATATACAACCATTCCGTAAAAAATATTTATGATTTTACCGTTAAAGATGCGTATTTGCAGTAAAAGAGACGTCATTTGTTAAAAATAATTCTACAATAGTTGATTCCAAGCCATTATCAAAGAGAAAGAAGAGAAATTTCTCTTAAAATTTTTTGTTCTACAATAGTTGATTCCAAGCCAAAAATCAAAGAGAAAGAAGAGAAATTTCTAGACTTCTTAATACTTAAAAATTTTAAATTTTAAATGAAACGATAAGAATCTAACATGGCTTTTAATTATAATAAATTTATTACCATTATTGTTTCTGATTATTGCATTCTTGATTACCGTATATGCTAATTGACGTATTCTTGATTGATCTATTCTGGTATTCTAATTTAATTACTGTTGTTCTGTTCCCAATTCTATATTAAAATTTGATTAATTACCATACTAAGTCACTAGCGTATTATTAAACGATAGAAAAGGTTGACAACTCTTAAAGAAAACTAAATATTATTAAATTATCGGGTAGTTTATTATAATTTTAGATTAATAAATTACAAAAAAAAAAAAAAAAATTCAAGAATCTTTTAATTCTAGGTATGAATACTCATTCTTCTTTTAAATCACATGAAAATCCGAATAATAATAAAAAATAATAATTAAATCTATAAAAGATTCTATTTGATTTTATAAGAATACTTATTACATAATAGATTATCCTAATGACCATTCACTAGATAACTTACTAAATGTAACAAATGCATCCTAAATAAAAAATAAAATAATTTATTTAATTTACAAACATTATACATCGTCCAATAAATATATTAATTCTTTACCTCTTTCGTACAATCTGGAATTTGTTTATCAAAAACAGGATAATCCATTGAAACTGTAGTATGTAATTGTTTAGAATGGAAGGCCGCCAATTTTCCATAACCTCCAGGAGAAATTATCTATAAAAATTAAAAAACAATAAATTAAAAAAAAATTTCAATAATAATAAATCAATGGAATAAATGCAATAATAATTTTATACCCGATAATCTGTTTTGCTTAAAATCCAATTTTCTATTATAGCATTATTTACATCATCTGCGTGATCGTGATGACTATGATTAGATTGAATTGGTAAACCGGAGATAATAACATGTTCCAATTTTTGTACAGCCTCATTTCTTAAAGCTTCCGAGTCAGTAATAAGGAAATAAATGACTTTGTGATCCGGTACGGCATAAGTTTGTGTAAGTTGATCAGCACAATGAAAAAAATGTTTATAATCTTGCAATGCATTCGTATCACCCCTTATTCTAATTTGAATTCCCACCGAAAATATATTATTAAGTGAAAATAATGATGTATACTTTGATATAAATGACATTGTTGAAGTACTTGGACGGAATAGATAATCAAAAATACATCCAAATGCTGTGTGTGGTCTTAATCCAATCTCTTTTAAAGGTTGTGCGTAATATTTTGAATCAAAGGTTCTAATAATCATTCCTCGATTTGTATGAAATTTGATAAAAGGATCCGGATATTTTGTTGACCAATTAGAAAGTAAAAATTGATTGTCTATTTGTTGAGCATCAAAATCAATAACATTAATTTCACTACTTTGCAAATCTTTGATGGTCGGTTCCGGATCTAAAGAATCATAACTCCAATCAATATTAGGAGAATCAAAAATTGCATCAAGAGGAAGAGGAGCTTGCCAATCTGAAAGAAAAGCTCGATTTGTAAGCAAAGAAAATAAAAATGTCGAGGTCATGCCAAGTATGCTTTTAATAAAAAAATCATGTTAATATTTTAATTATAAAATAAAAAGAATCATTACAACAACGAAAATTTCTTGTAACGTACCGGTCACCCAGGTTACCACAATTTGAATTTGCTTCACAAACATAAGCAACATATTTTTGTTCCGTTCTTCCAGTCAAAATGTCTTCGTGTAATTTAGCATAATTTTTTTGCCATGTTCCACATGAAGAATCAAGACTTTCATCCGTATTCATTTCAATTAATTGTATTATAGCGGTTTCATTTCGTTCTTCTTCGGTAAGTGATCCAATAACATCTTCATATGTAAAATGTGGGTTTGGAGCTTGATAAGTATACTTTGCATAATTAACTATATCCTCATTATTATCACTTAATCCCGATGCATCCAACTTGTAATGTCTAAGTTTTTTTTTATCAAGCTTGTTAGGTAAGCCTATTAAATTTGATTTTTCTTCAGTTTCATTACTTTCTAGAATATTTTTATTACTTGTTTCTTCCAACTGATCTTTTATATCACCATTATTAAGAAGAATTTCATCAGAATGTCCAAAATTTGTATTTTTGATTTCATTTTCATCCACATTATTAGTAAGATTAGGTTCAATTTTAATATCTTCAAGAATACTTTCTTCCTGATTTTGTTGCTTTGTTTCATCAGGTAATTCTGGTATAACATCACTTGTGTTATTATCGGACGAATGCTCTTCAGTACTAATTTCTTGCGGTTTAAGTTCATCATCTTCATAAATAACTTCTCCATCTTCAAATATAGTATCATTATAAATTGCATTAATGTGATCATCATCAATTTTATCTTCTATCGGATTTTCTACAAAAGGGTTGAGAACTTCATGAATTTCATTTTCTTCATCATCAGAAAATTTATCAGGATCCTGCACAAAATTAATTGGTTCTTCCACATTGATCGGTTCTTTTTTAATTGCATATTCTAAATCATCAAATGGAGGACCTAATCCGCTTAAACTTCCCAAAAAGAATACAAGAGCACAAAAAAATACTAACATTGATAATATATTTTTTAATTCAAAATTTGAGGAAGTATCAGCTTGCATTTGTTTCTCAAAAGATTTATGTTTTGATGGAGTATGAGGTGGATTTTGTAATGAACTTTTATTACTATTCTCACTTATAGAAGTAAGAAATGATTTCCCTGATTTTTGTGATTCAAGGTAATTATTTTGATTAGAATTATATGTATTATTAAAATTACTTGTATTATTGACTATACGTTGATTCGGTATCGAAAGAAGATTTTCCGAAGAATCATTGCTTCCCGCACTGATACTCATAGTACGACGATGTGGTCTTGAAGAAGACATGACTTTTTTCTTTAAAAAAATATAATTGAAGAAATTTCGTTTATAATGAATAAATTACATTAAAATAAAAATGATTTTATACTTTAAAAAAAAAAAATTCAATCAATTTTAAAGTTTTTAAATAGATTTATTAACAGAAAAAATCCGTTAACTTTTCAAAGGGGTGGAAATTTTTATATAAAGGAAAGAAATTAAATTTGAAAAAAAAAAAAATTCATGGTTAATATACATTAATGTACTTAATTGGAAATGATCGTTACTAAATAATAATAATTGATTTGTGTAGAAAATTCTATGCACTTGCCTTGTGTTTCATAAATTGACCAAAAAATCATATTCCCTATATGATCGTTGAAATAAACACATTGTGCCAAGATCTGTCGATCCACATTGTATGACGCAGTTTAGCACGAGTCAAAATGTCCACGTGATATTAACTCTAGATTATATATATAGTGATATGTCGTGTTTCATAATGTTTGAAATGTCTAGTTGAGGAATGATTTATATCAAAAATATAGATGATTGTCTCAAAGAAATAGACTATAAACTTAGCCTTAAACCTGAAGACAAACAAGATTTTCTAAATTCTGCAGATAACATTTGTTCTCTAACTCTAATGAATTCTATTAGCTTTCACCTATAAGATAAAGCAACATATGAACTTGATAATTTTCTCATATGTAGAGTATGTCTTAAAGTGTTTTAGTATTTTAACATGAAGTTTTGGATAAGGAAAAAAGATAAAAAGATAAAAAAATATGAATCTTTACCAAATTAGCATTTGAAAGAAAAAAGAACTATGCTGCTGCTAAAGTATATGAAGAGCATCTAGTATATAACATTTTAAGTTGATTTGTACCTGTAAAATACAAAAAATCAGAACAATCCAGAGAATATTTAGCCGTTATTCCTGTAAATAGAAAATTCATTTGCACTTATTACCTCTACATGATCAACTATCCTTTCCTAAAGAACCTTTACACAATCAACCCTCCCAAAAAAAAATCTCAGGAAAAAGAAAATGGAATTCACATATCTAAGACAGGTGAAATTTCTTTTTTAGCATTTCAAACAACTTTATCAATGGATAATTATAATAGTGAAACCAGATCATGCTAGATGTTGGATTTTCCTTCCAATACCTTTTCCTTTTTTATTACATCACCACTTACCTTGATAGCTTAATTCAACAGTAATAAATTCATAGTTCAATACTTGATGCAAGCTGTACAATTTTTGACAATTAGTGCAAACTGTGACTCTTAGTCTATAGAAATAAGCTTTCAACAGCAGTAACCCTGTAAAAAATCTGATCCGTGTTTTATCTTTCCATTTTTTTTCTGTGAATGTATCATTTTCATGGAATTAATAGCCTTAAATCATGGAAATTTTCATCTCGCTAACACGGATATCCGTGAATGTATCATTTTCACGGAATTTTTACAGAAGTCACGGAGAAATAATGGAAATATTTGGATAAAAATTTTTTATAGGGTAATAATGAACTCTTAGTTTGACATTTAGCACAATCTATTTAGATTGGTTTAATTTGTATAATATTAATATACCTTTTCTCTTGCCAAGTAGAACAGATGTTTCAAAAGTATTAGAAGAATACATGGAAACAATTCCAAAAAAAAGAAAAATATTTAAGATTAGTTATTCAAATGATATTTCATGAGAGCAATAACCATTATGATAATTCTGAAATTTTTGTACTTGTTATTCTGTTTATTGTAAAATCCTAGATTTTACTGGTGATAATTTAGAAACTATGTTTATTTTCTTCAGAATACTACTAATCTGTTATGGTTGATAACTTTGAACAAGAAGTGAGACTATCACAAGCAATTACTGTATATCAAGTTGTATATTGTTTCTTTGATAAATTACATGAGTATTTGAAAATAAATTGTAATGTTGCATTTAATGAAAGGAGACTTACTTATTTTATTGCATATGTTATAATAGAAAATCAATAAGCTGTTTCCAAAAGATTGAAAAACAATGCTCAGCATAGAAGAAAAGCATGCTATTTTTGTCTTGAAGTATAGTGAAGAATAGTAAATTATATTCACTTTGATTGATTTTCTTATATTATTTGATGTTAACTAATATCAGTACATGACAATATACTGTTACTACAATTATAAATAAAAGATATAAATTTCAGAGTCATAATTTGCTAGTTCTTTTCCAATATGCTCATGAAAAGGCTTCTTGATCTAAAGAAAGTAAAGAAAGTGAAATTTAACATATAAGTTAGAATATTAAATACATTTGTATAGTTGTATTTTTATACTTTTTTTTCTTCTACAGTGCATACAACCTAGTTCTAACAAAAAAATTTTTAAGTGCCCAAATTTTTTATATTATGTAATACTTAACCTTATAATTTTATTGGTCAGATTTATTTAATTTAAGTTATAATTCTTAATTCTAGCCAGAATTATATATAATTTTAGTAAATTTGACCAGATTTACATGTAATTCTGGTCAGAATAAAATGGCCAAATATTTAATTCAATAGTAAAATATTTTGAATTGCTACTACTTTATTAAAAAATACTTTACAGGAAATGTTTTATTAAGCTTAATCTGGTTTATTATTGTACATTTATACTTTATGTTTATCTTTTTTTTTGAATGAATAGTAGTGATTTAAATTTCATCAAATTTAATTGCTGAGACTAAGTTGTACGTACTGTATAACTTTAAGTTTAAGAAAAAAATCTCTTATTTAATGTCAGAAGCCATTCAGGTTAAAGATATGAATTTAATGAAATACTCAAACAAAGTTAGTGTTCTGCACAAATCGATTAATGACATGGTGTGACCTGATTGCTTCTGAATAATAAAAACGTATTTTGCGTATAACTTTTGATCTAGCAGTCTGATTTCGACGATCTATTTTTTATTTTGATCAGGGTAATGAGACCTATCGATTAAAAAAAGATCATTGAAATTGGATCACTAGATCCTGAGGTAATAATTTTTGGAGGTCAAATCGAGTTCGAATTGAGTCTGAATTGAGTTCAAATCGAATCAAATTTTAGAGGAAAAATTTGATTTGTGTGGAACACTAAACAAAGTGTTGGTAATTTTAAGACTATAAATGTGATAAAAATGCAGTACAGTAAAATAATTAGTCTTAGAAATAATATACTTCTAAATGCTTATTAGTAAAAAATTTTAAGGATCATTTTGATTTAGCTGTAGCTATTTGTGAAAACTTAGATGCACTTTTCAAGTTATCTTTGGATAATATTTTACTAATAAAGCTCTAATCAGTCTGGCTTAATCTGGCAATTCAGATTGAAATTAGAATTGGTCCAATTAAGTAAAATTTTTAGGTACAGATAAAAATAGACAAATGGGTAGCATGTAAAAATTATGCTTCTCAATTTGAAATCCAAGAATTTTATGGGCATGTAGAATATTGTTTCAGCCTGGACTGAAATATTCAGTCTGGTTCAGTTCAGTCCTGAATTATAAATTTAACCTGAACTGCTAAATTAAACAAGTTGGAATCAGACTGGATTAAGTAATTGTTTTCACAATAATTTTATATTAAAACTATTGCAATTGTTTAATTATTAAATAAAAAAATATTGCAAAATATTTTTTTTAATATATAATTAATTTAATAATAAAATATTGCAAAATATTTTTTCAAAATAATTTTAATTAAAACATATTTGCCAATCTGTGAATTAACAAAATTCATCTAAATTAAGGAATTTGAAAAATTAAGTAAATTAAGTTTCATAAAAATGATCACACTTGTATTACATGATCATATGACAGATATAAAGAAATTATTTTAACAAAAAGTAGTGTTAAAAAATTTTTTTCTTTCATAAACTTCCTATTAAACTCCCCATCAACTTCTCCATCAACTTTTCAACCAGTTTTTACATCAAGTAAATTGAAAATTTTTGCAAGTATATTAGTAGTAATTATTTTTATATTAGATACAATTCAAAGCTGTTTTTTTATTTTTTTTTTATAGTTTATAGAAAAAATTTATTTAGAAAGTAAAAAAAATCTTTCAATAAATAAATAATTTTAAATATTAATAATGATTATATTTTAGCGAATTTAGATTATATATTAATTAGTTGTTTAATTAAAATCTATTTGATATTTATTATTAATTATTTTTCAGTTACTTTTTTTTTATTAAATCATTAAATATTCTGGATTTTGTAAAGTTTTTTTTCTTTTTTTTTTAATAAACTAACTTTATAATACTTTTTTCCTTTTTTTTTCTAGAAATTCCTTCTACTTGTTTTGAGTTAAAGAGGTAAATATTTTGGAAGGTTTTAAAGTTTTTTTATATATTTTTTAACATTTTTTCTCATGTAGAAACGGGGTTTGATCAATTTTAATCAGTATTGCACCACATAACTAATAATAAGGTTGCTTGTCTAAACCTCTTCAAAATTCTACGATTAGTTTCGTCAAAATTTTACTATAGATTTATTATAGTTTTGGCAGAGTTTCGGCAGTTTCAGCATTTATAATAAGTTTCGGCAGTTTCGCCTTTCTCCAAAGTTTCGCCAGTTTTTTAATATAACTTTAATATAGTTTAAGCAGAATTTAGCTTTTCGGAGAAACGCCATCTTGCCTAAACCCCTAGGTTTCGGCAAGTAACTTTAACTAATAATTAGCAAATTCTGCAAATTGGCAGATATAAAATATTTTTGCAATATTATTTTAATTAATTTAACAAAAAAATGTTGTGAAACATTTTTCAAAGTAATTATAATTAAAAAATATTTTTGCAACATTTTTTATTATAGGATTAGACTGAACTGAATTAAATAACTAGTCTAATCTGATCTGGTTCTAGATTATCTTTTAATATGATTCAAATTAGACTGAAATGAAGTAATTTTTTTGGTTTGATTCTGAATTACTCTTCAACCCAGACTAATCTGAACTATTTAAAGCTTTATATTAGTAGGCAACACACTTATAAGAGTGTTGTTTACTTATATTACAGTATTGCCTATTTATAATTATAGTGTTACCTACTTATGTATATGTTACCTACTTATTCGTTTTTATTATTCTGTTTTCTTGCTATTATTTTCCTGTGTTATTTATTTTTTTTGGTATTTTGCGCTGTATTTATTTTAGGCTTGTTAGTTATTATAATTGCTTTATTAGTCATTTTCATTCTTAGGCTTATTTGATTATTTTATTCATTTCTACTATATTGCAAATTGTCATTATATTACTTGAGGTTTATAGTTGATCAGATGGGTTATGTTTATTCTTGCTATTCTTAAGAGTTTACAGGCTCTTTATATATATTGGATTATTTTTTGTATAGTGGATGATGCTTTAGCTCTTTTTTAATGATATTTTTTTTATGTTTTTTTCAGTATACTTTATGTCTTTGTGAGGCTATTTAGAGCCTGATTTAGCATCTAAGGTAAGGTACATAATGCTGAATTGGTGTTGTTCCTGTTATCACCTTTCTGGGCTGAATTCATTATATCTAACTGGTGTCGCTTCGTTCTATATCTGGCTTTGTAGACCAATTTGAAGGCTGAGGGTAAGACATGTAGTACTAAATTTGGATGTCTGTTTGGTAGTTGACTTGGTATTGTCCTTCTTGATTGCTGATGCTAGGTTAGTCAATGGAGTACCAAAGTCATTTTCTTACTTATTCTTTATATAATTCTACCTTAGCATCCCATCTTTTTTTTCCATTTAATAGTTAAATACCTGAAGTAAATAAAATTTTTGAGACTGCCAGTCTCTGAAAAATGTGAAAAAAATATTAGATATGAGTGTTCTGAAAATATAGAGGTAGGAGCTAGAATGGTAGGATGCCAAAGTAAAATTTCTTATTTCTTTCCTTAATATAATTCTGCCTTAGCATCTTACTCTAGACTAGTTTGTCCAAGCTCGTTAAAGTTGTGCAGATGAAATGACACAGTACCTTTGGGATAATCTAACCGATTATTTTCTGTGATATTTGGCAAAAAGTACAAATTATACTCATTTAAAAAATAAAGCCCAATATAGGCAGATATACATGCTTTAAAATTCATGTGCAAGAAAAACTATTATTTTTTTTGATGGTAGAGTCTTGTCCAGGCTTATCAAAATTGCGCAGAAGAAATGGCACAGTACTCATCAATCAAAGAGTAATCATTTGATAGTGATTGTTAAAAATAAAACCCGATATGTACAAATGTAAAAAAACATGCTAATAGATACTTTATTAATTTTGCTCATCACTGGTAGGTTTCTTTGCTGATAGTGGTTTAATTGATAAAAAAGGCTAAACTATGAGATCACTTACACAAACACCATATGATTATGTAATACTTTGGTTACTAATAGGATTATTTCTTTCTTTTTGGCTTTGAAGTTGATGCTTGAGTAGTATGTACTTTTGGATTTGGATCATTTTCTATTTGTACCATATTGTCAGATGTATATTCAAAGTTGAAAACATTTAAGATAAAATGGACAAAAGTAACTTACTAGCAGAATAAGCAGAATTTTTTTTAATAGATTCTCTGGTAGCTTGTTGACAATTGGCGGTCAGAAGATTATATGCTTTTTTGTCAAATGCATCATTTTTGACCTGGCCAAGCGTAACATCTTTGGGATAATAAAATTCCTTAAGTTTCCATTCTCCATTCTTATTTGAATAATTCGAAATTACCGTGGATTTAGGATCTTTAGGATCTTTATCTGATGTACGTTCAATTAAATATTGACCACCTTTCTCTGTTTTCACTTGGATTGCATGATGTTTGGTAACCTTTCCTAATAAGCGAAGATTCTTTTGGCCACCATGTTCAATTTTACGGGAGAGTTTTGACATATACAAAACCTTATCATTTTCTGGAGAAGTTATTAAAATAAAGGTATTTGTTTCAAAAATTTGGCTGTTATACCCCCTCATGAATTAGTTATAATGCTCACCATCGTATGACATATCTATTATACGAAAGAGATGTTTTTTAAGAAAAATTATTTTGGCTATCGAGTTTGTTAAATATATAAATATACAGTATGTAGGTAGATCTCTCGTCTGTTTGATGCATGATAATGTAATAATGTTTTTTTTTTGATGCGATAAAGATTTCCTTATCGTATACTCGTGATAAACATATAGCCTTATTACATAACGATAATTCCGATTTTGGTCGTTGAAACTTCTCGCTAGATATGGGGCAAATTATTTTTCGTTATATTTGAGAACGTACATACGTTAAGCCTGCCGAGCCCTACCATCTAAGTTATCATTAAGTTTGCTATCTACTTAATAAATTCTGTCTTAGATACAGTGTTGGAGATGAAGGTATAAAACGGGAATCATTTAGTTGATAGATTGTTTACGCTTCATGCATTTCTCTCAAATGAAAGTATAGATCGGGATTCATTTATTTTACTATCATGAGAGTAATAATCACCTGAATAACATGTGTAGATTTATATTTACATTTGCAAAACGCACACATTTTAAAAATCAATCAAACCATTCTTTATTGCAAAATAATACGTGAGAAAGGGCCGATCGGCTAAGTAAAAATGAAGCTAATAAAAGATATTGGAGTAGATCACGTTTAAAGGGAGGAATAAAGCACGAAATGAAATAATAACATGCTTTCCGCCTGCCCCTAGACCGTAAAAGGCGGTTCCTTCTCACTACCCCATATTATTTTCGTTATTATTATTTGCGCTACTCGCATTATTATTATTTAAACTATTAGTAATTTCCTTATCATCTACCATCTCATAATTGAAATTACTGTATTAAATTTTGGGTCCCCTTCACCATAATAAAAACTTTTCACAGTACCCTTCCCAATCTTTTCCCCAGTAAGTTCACGAATTTCACGTCTAACAGTTTCAAACGCATAATCCATAGTATCCCCCACTTTGTTCGAATTAAAAACTCGCTTAAAACGGCTCCTATTTTCTTCAATCAGATAATTGACTAGAAGAACTTTCACTACTAGAGGAATGATGAAGCCTTTGGGTAATTGCATAACGTTGGATCATTTCATTTCGGAGAGACGAAGTGAATTCAGATGAAATGTTGCCAAAATCATTACGGCAAGCTTCAATATTATTGAGTCTTGTGGTCACATTATCGACCAAGGAAAATGGTATATTAATAATTTTAGTAAATTCAAACTGATTTTTGTTTTCTTTGATCATTATATTCTATGTTTTCTTGATTATCTATGTGCTCATCAATCGCGAATAATAATTCATTCGTGAAAATTTTATTAGCTGTCCTTCTTCAAAAGGTTGATTTTCTAAACTTTACTTTTGTGCAAATTATTCCTTGAACGACACATATTGCAAGTGGATCGAATATTCTCTCCAACAATGAATTCTGTTTCATCAATGGTTTTCTTACAACCCGAACATCTTTTCGTTACTGGAATATTTTTGATAAATTGCAATAATATTATCATCATTAATTGTCTGAAAAGCTTCTGTTAAAGGATCCATCTAAATAACCATTAATTTAATATCAATTAGTAAATATAATACTATGCTAAAAAAAATCAAAATAATACAATAAAAAATAATAAACAATACTAGAAAAATTATATTTACGCGTAAAATAAGTATTTTCTTTAAATTTACAATAAGTAGATTAAGTCAAATATAACGTTTTGTGTCGTTAGTGTCGTTATTTGCAAAGTCTCTGTCGTTATTTTTTTTCGCGGTATGTATAAAGTGATCAGTATTACATTTCGGCCAATCATATTTTGTTTATCTTGTGATCACATCAGCCACCAGCCACTTTCGTGACTTTTTTTTTCAGGTTACGCTGGGCCGGCTGGGGAAATCGTATTACAAAGGGAATAAAGGCCATGAAAACAGAGAATAACTTTCATGAACAAATAAAAAATTTCATGATTGAAGCATGAAAATAAGGACATAAATAGAGGGCAACTTTATGTGAGTGATAAACTTTGATTTTAATAAATCCATGGTTTACTATCATACATTATCATTACGGATTTATCCGTATAAGATGCATTATGGCGTATTTATATATCTTATTAAAGAAAATAAGTAAAACTATTTGAAACTATTGATTTTTTTTTTTTCACACGAAATTTTCTTGGCAATTGTTTTTAAGATACATACTTAAAAAATGAATTTACCAAAAGGGATTAATATTGATTATTTTAAGGTAATAAAATTCTAAAAATTCCCAAAAGTGGTTAAGTAAAATTAACAAAAAAAGAATAATGTAATAATAACTAAACCCCCCCTTTTTTTTTCATGATGATAACATACAGTATTTTTGTGATCGGGTTTTAAACATGTTTTTTTTTTGTTTATTTGTAATTTTATTATGCATGCTTTTGCATTAAAAACTCCCCCACGTTTCAGTCGTTTCACTGTATTTTATTGAAATGTCAAGATAATTGATAAACTGCATAAAAAAAATAAAATGGTAAAATGGCTTTCATTTTTTGCTATTGGATGAAAAAAAATTCGCTCAAATATTAGAGTATAATTTTTTGTATTTTGTATTTTGTATTTCGTTTTTTTTTATTAAAAAAAAAAATATTACACAGTTTATTTTTTAAGGCAAACACACACATTTAATAAATTTAATTTATTCAAAAAGAATAAAAAAAAAAAAATGAAAAAAAGAAAATGAAAAATTATTTAAATTACAAACTAAGAATCTTTTAAAGATGTTTAATCTTACTACTCTAGTCTTAGTGTTTAAATAATTTATAACAACTTTAAATATAATAATGTNAAAAAAAAAAAAAAAAAAAAAAAGACCAAATAAATTTTTTTTGAGCTAAAAAAAGCTCGAGATATATTTTTTTATTATGATAATTCAATTATCATCTTTATAAAAATACAAAGAAAATATATGAAATATAAAATATCGTGATTTATAATTATCCAATCACGTAATAAAAAAAACCATTGTATCTACATTACTCCATCTAATTTTTTTTTATATATTAATTTATATGATGCAAAAAAGATTATAAATTTGATGAACGTGATAATTAAATTTGTAAGGTATTATAAAGTAAATAATTTATTTTTGTTATGTTTATAAGACATAAGCGGCAGCCATGCACATGCTTGAAAGAACAACTCCGGCAGCGATGGATTGATAGTTTCGGACAGCAGAGCTCTTGGCAGCACCATCAGATGGGGTTGGTGGCATGTTAGCAGTTCCGTTGGCTGGAGCAGCACCACCTCCTGGAGCTGGAGCAGCACCACCAGCATCACCACCACCAATGAGAAGAGTACCAGCCATACCACCAGTTCCGGGAGTACAATGGCCTGGAACTCCACAGTAGAACCATGTTTTTGTATTAGGAGTAGCATCTTTTGGAACGGGCCAGCTCCATGTTTTTGGTGCTAAGAATGCTCCATCGGAACTGGCAGCATTGGGTTTTGCAGATTTGGCACAGGCAACTAATGAATCAGTTTCGATAACACTGTGTTTACCACTAACCCAAGTAAAGACGACCTATGAAAATTTTATAAAATTAATAAATTTAGTTTTCTATTTTTTTTTTTTAACAAAAACCGATTAATTAAATTGCAAAAATACATACATTGTCACCAGGCATGGCCATAACCTTTGCTGGTTCGAAGACATTTTCTCCTTTGGCATTACCAACGTTAACCATAACATCAGCTGCTTGAGCGAAAGAAGCAAGACTAGCGACGAAAAAGATAGCAGCGAAAGAAGTTTTCATTTTGATTGATTAATTTGTTTTTTTAAAAAAAAAGGTGAAAAGAAAAATTTTTTATCAAAAAAAATTTATTTTTATGTATTTATTATATATATGTAAAGAACTTTTTTTTTTTGAATTTTTGAGAGGATGCAGAAGCCTGTATTTATAAGTAAAATTTTCAATAAAATAATTTAAATTTTCTTTGGTTAAAAAATCCTTTGTTTCATACTATATTGTAAAATGCTTAGGACGAAAAGTATATTCTTTGACTGTTGTGGAAATGTAAGAAATGCATAAAGTGAAACAAATATTAATTTCATTTGTACTATATTCCTTAAACGGTATGTTTGCGTTATTAAATTTAAATTACGTATACAAAAAAAAAATAATAATTTGTTTCAAATGGCCGAACACAAAACAATATTTAAAATGAACACAACAGGATTAATTATTATTGTGTAAAAAAAAAAATATTTATTATATTATATTATATATTTTATTATTATTTATTTATTTTCAATTTTTTTTTTAATTTAATTATATATAAATAAAATATAAATAATTATATAAATAAAATTTATTTTATTTTATTTTATTTTCTTTGTTTGTGCTATTTAGGATACAGTGTTACAAAATATTCAAGGCTGTAAATTTCCTAAAAAGTAAAATAAGATTATAACCTACCTTATTAAGGGAAGCTAATGACCAAAATTAATATAATAATATGTTATTAATACAATCAGTTTTCTTGTCGGTCATATGTTCGGACGAGAGAATTCCTAGAATTCCAAGAAAACGTCCGCCCAGAAATAGGCTTAGAAAAAAAGGCTCAGAAAAAGGGGGCTGCCAACTATGACATATTATGACAAAATAATTTTATCTCAAAATAATTTCTCAAATGTATTGTAATTAAAAATATATTTTCTTTTATTATTATTATTTATTAAAAAATCAAAATAATTTCTCAAAAGTTAATCAAAATAATTTCAAAATACTGCAAATTAAAATAAAGAAAAATATCTACAAATCTTACAAACTAAAAACAACGAACAATATTAAATAAATTAATTAATTGTATCCTAATTAAAGGTTAAATGCAAAATTATTAAATAAAGAAATTCCGTTGTAAAATTCCCCCTTTTTTTTTTTACAACCAAGAGATAAAGCTTGAAACCAAAGTACCAAAACTTAAAGCAATAAATGATCTTGGCATTACAATAGCATCCGAGGTTTGATTGCTTGTAACTTTGATAGCTCCTTTCATACCAGATGCACAATGTTGATCAACACTGCAGTGAAACCAGATATTTCCTGATGTTTGAGTTATTGTAACAGTAAATTCTTTTGAAGGAGGATTGACTTCTGATTGAACTAAAGAAAGAAGGAAAATAAAGAAATTTTAATATAAAGAAAGTTATTAACTAATTAGGATTTCTTTTTAAAAAATCTCACTTACAAGCATTAGGGTCATTAGATTTTTCGCAAGAATCAGCTTTATCGGATTGGACGACATTATGATTTCCTGATACAAATTTGAACAGAACCTAAAAAAAGAAGGGAATTATTGATAAGCCCAAATTAAAAGTATATGAAAAGAAGTAAAGTTTCATTTGTAAATACCGAATCACCAGTCACAGCTTTAATATTATTTGGAAAAAATTGTAATTTGTTATCAGAACCAACTTCAACAACTATAGTGGCTGATTGGATGAGAGTAACAAGAGCAGCCAAAATAACAATGAAGGTAAAAATTTCTTTATTCATTTTTTGAAAAAAAAGAAAAAAGAATTGTTTGTTAAATTTTTTTATTTTTTAGGGAGATTTTAGATTTTTTTGTGAAAGGTCTTTAATGTTAGATTCCTCTCTTAAATAATTTATATCATACTAATTTCTTAGGCTTTGAAGACGCGAATTCTTTGGGCGTTTACTTATTTGACTAAGTAGTATAAGCGAAAAACCGAGCCATTTGACAAAAATTTCCAAATTTAGGATATTAATTGCCAAAAAAAGATTATGGTTTGTTGATTTTCAACAATTTTTCATGATTCTTTTTATTTTTTAAAATACAAAAATGTCAATCAAGTTGTAATCCAAAAAGTCATATGCGTAATACGCATTTGATATATTTGGGAATAATAATAAAAAACTATTTGTTATTTGATTTCTAAATTATATAATAAATAATTATATAATAGGGATAAAACTATTATTCTACTATCTGTAAAAGGGTTAGAATAAATTTAAATTTATATCTCGTGGCAAATATTCATGAAACACAACTTAAAACTCCCCCTAACTCCAACCTAAAATCTTAACTCATTTTGGAGAGATTGATAAATTATTTTCGAAATTTAATTGTTTAAAAAAATTTATTCCCAATGGCAATATAACCTTTTGTATTACAAAAAATAATCAAATAATTTTCATTAAAAAACCAATCATTTATAAAGTTACCGATTTACTTAATTAAAATTGTTACTAAAATTTTAAAATTATTTCTTAATCGGTATTTTAATTTTTTATGTATTACTTTTTGTCTCATGTTTTTGACTTAAAACTGTATGTCAAACTAAATCCCTCATTTTCATAACAATGATAAGCAAAAATGTCTCATTAGGATCCTTTGATAGAAGGATTTTTTTTTTTCTCTATATTAAAGTTTACACTTTGTGTAAATTATGGGGGCTGTTTTACAGTTCGAGTATATTAATCAAGTAATTATTGTATATGATTATATTACACAAATTTGTACGTTATTTCACAAAAGACAAAGGTTTATGCAAGATTAGGGTAATAAATAAAAGCTTATGAATTTTAATGAAATTAATAAATTTGTATAAGCTTAAATTTGAATCGACCCAAAATGTATCGGTCAGGTTCATAAATCATTAACACTGAAAATCCGGCTAAACCTTCCAATGTTTTACAACATTGATTTTTATCATATCTTTATATAATCTTGGAAAAATTCTTAAAATTCGGTAATTAACGGAATCCAATCAAACATTTGTTTTGTTCTTTTTTCGAAAAAAAAAAAATATATTTTTAATTCATAAATTCTTTTAAAAAATCATTTCTTTTTTTTTTTTATTCCGTCTTGGAATTTCCTTCTCTGCTGTACTTCGAAATAATAATATTATTATTGTTCATTGTATAACGATACTTCTCTTAATTCGATGTTTTTGATTTAACTTTTTTTTAAATAGTGACACAAAATGGGAGTTATTCAATGCTTACACTGCATTGGTGCGAAGATCGTACTATCGATAAAATACGATAAACATATTAAATGCTTTTAATCTACATGTATCCATTCGGTGGACATTGCCGCAATTATTAAAAATTTTCGGAACCAAGTTACCCAAAAAAGTGATTTATCATCCTGTTAGCCTTTTGTGTAACTTTGTTATAATCTATTGATTTTCATCTAAATTTTTTTTTTTTTTCCCCACTTTTTCTTTTATCTTCTTAATATCTTTTAATAAAAGATAAACTGAAAGAAAAAAAAAATGTCAGTTAATGATAATTATGATTTTAATTTCATTCTAGAATCTGTTACATTAACAGGAAAAAGGATTCGCCTTGAACCATTAATTGTATGTACAATTATATTTAATTTTATTTTTTATTTTTTTTGTGTTTTTTGAATAATTAAAAATTACTAATTATGAAATATATATATTATAAAAGCCATCTGTTCATGCAGAAGAATTGTATGAGGTTTCACATGTAAATCCCGAATCGAGGAAAGTTTTTGATTATCTTCCGTATGGTCCATTTAATACTTACCAAGAATTTTTGAATTTTTTAAATGGTCCAAGGATAAAAGGAGATAATCATACGATTTTATTTTGTATTATTGATATCGTTTCTGAGAAGAAGATCGGAATTGTTGGGTAAAACTATAACTATACTAATCATTATAATATCACACAAGTATATTAAATTATATTTTTTTTTTATATAGTTATTTAAATACTCAACCAATTCATAAAAAAATTGAAATTGGTCATATATGGATCATACCATCATTTCAACGAACATATGCTAATACAGAAACAAATTTTCTTTTATTACAATATGCATTTGAATCTCTTAAATATCTTAGAGTTACATGGAAATGTCATTCTAATAATATTAATTCACGTAAATCTGCTGAAAGATTAGGTTATAAATTTGAAGGAACTTTAAGAAATCATTATTTAATTAAAAAAGTTATTAATGGTACTGAAATTATTGATAAAAGAAATTCTGATTTTTTATCAATTATAGATAGTGAATGGGAGGATGTAAAAAAAAATTTATTAGAAAAATTGAAATAATAATACATAATACATAATACATAATAATAATAATAATAATAATAATAATATTAGTTTATAAAAAATAATATTATTAGTTTATATTATAACTTTGTGTAATATGTGTAATATAATAAATAAATAAAAATTTGAGCGAATTTTTTTCGTGTAAAAAAAATGATAAGGTTTGTCGTACTTTCGTACTTTTGAAATTTTTTTAATGAGGTGTACAAGACGAAAATCTTAATAAAGTTTTCTTAAATTCGCGATTTCAAATATTAGAGACCCAACGTAATTAAACAATTAAACGCGCGTGACATCAGAATTTCGAACTTTAAAGAAAATATGATATATAATAAATCGAAGTCGAAATCTATTTACTCTATTACCAAAGTGAAAGAATTCGAATTAATTATATAAAAAGTATAATTACATAAACATCGATAAATTTGAATGATAGAAAAACCCCAAGTGTGAAACCTCTCGGTTCACTTACCTTACTATTACTTAATGTTTACAAAAGCAAACTTGATGTACAAATATTCTTATTCGAAAACGGTAAATTACAATAAAAATTTATATTGCGCCTAATTCGGTTTTCCGTGATTTTTTTCGTAATGCTCCGTGAGTTACCATTAAATTATTGTGTTCTCCTGCAGCTTGAAATCTTCTTCAAAGTTCTCCTATAAGGTTATTCGCTCCGAAAGACCTAAACTCGAATTTTCGATTCGTAATTCGCTTCACAGATTTCTATGTACAACTTACATGGATATATACTTAAAACGTCATTGTCGGTTTAACGGAACCGTTCATAGTAAAAGTCCGGAAATTAACTGTACCTACGGTACACAATCACAATAATCATGTGTTTAAAAAGAGAGTTTCACAAAAATAAGCTTATGCAATGAGGTTTTTTCGTATTTTTCTGATATCTATTAGTAATAACCCAATACAAATTTCATTATAGTAGTGGAATATTTATAATATTATACAACACAATATGAAATCAATTGATGAACACCATTCTCAGATGATATGCTACCAACGAACACACCAATGATGACAGCAAGGACGATTTAAATTTTATCGCTCAAGTCTATTAGATAAATGAAAAAAAATCAAGAAAACGAGAAAACTATAGATAATCTCTGCAACGAATTATAAACAAATCAAATCATACTCCTTTTTTACGATATTTCATTCTATCTGCTCGGATCGATTTTAGATAAGCCATTTTATCTTCATTTCTATTGATATTGTAAGCGATTCTTCGGGCAAACTATTGCGTAGTTCTTCCGATAAATTTGGTGTAGGTGTTTCAGAAGGTATAGAAGATGCATTACTTCTAGAGAATATTGTTAGTAGGTTTTAGTAAATTAAAATAAAAAACTCAACATCCACATTATTATTATCCACATTATTATTATTATTATCGACTATGAAACCTTAATAGTGACACGTGGCACGTGACATAACTGTGTGGGAAAATTCTTGCCGAATGCTGTGTCATTTACCGTTGTAACACCAACAATCTTATAATTAAAATTCTATTCCACGTGACCAAGAGAATGTGAAAAAAAATAATTTTGGGAGGCAAAAAAAACTAGATAAATATAAACAGTGAAAACGTGATGAGGTCATTGCGATGTAGAGTTTAAATAATAGTTATTGGTCAGTTTATTAGATCATGCTGAAGTCAACACCCATTCATCCAAAGAGGAGCAATTCTAGCCTGAACTACCAATCTTCTTCGTTAGTCTCTTTGTTCGTTCCACTGCTGTGGCGACTATGTTTTTACTAGTCAGTCTGATCTAACAAAGGATGGGTCCAGTTGGATTTTGTACATCTAGTATAAATCAATATTCATATATGTTTTTTTTTTAATTCATACTGTTTTCATATCTTACAATGTATAGTAAAAATAAAAATAAAATAAATAAATAAAAATTAGGATCATGCTAATTTTGGCAGATTGATATTTTTTGTTAATGGCTAAATAATTGATATCTTTTTTTATCAGTTAAAAATCAATCCTTTAATTATAAGTTATTGAGCTTTACAACAATTAATATCACAATTATTAACCAATAATAGCAGCCATGTAGTGTTCAAATCCGTCCAATCAGAATGCTAGAATTTTATTTTTAAAAACCATACAAGTTTGTGGGCTGAGCTCTTACAAAGAATCAGATGATATTATCATATAAATTTTTAGCTTAATTATAAACTTAATTATAGCTTAATTATAGCTTATTTTTGATTTTTTAAAAATAACTAATTATATTTAATATACAGATGATAATAAGTTTTATAGTTTAATACTAGTTTAATTATACTTTTTGCGTAACTGACGCAATAACTATTATATAATAAAATGAAGCAAATACAAGAGATAGAAAAAGTTTTTACTTCTATAAAAGCACTATAAATTTCCTAATACAATCCCTGATATCATCCCTAAAATTATTCTGGATCTGGTAAATTCAGTTTATCATTAAATCTCACATTAATTGCAGAAATAGATTATATCATTTATATGCTCATTACCTGAAAGTAATGATCATTTTATTCATCTAATCGATCTGTAAATACGAATATACTTTGATCTTATATATAACCAGTGTTGTTATAGGGACAGGACATATTTATGGACAGGACGGGGTGGGACAGTTCAGGTCCAGGACATTGCACTGGTCGAAATCAAAACTTTCGACCGTTAAGAGCTTTCGGCATGATTTTTGCCGATTGGTCATATGATTCGTCACATTTTTTGACCAATGGCAAAAATCGGTAAAATCAATTACAAATTGACTGATACTAATTGTTAAACAAAAGCTTGTTCAGTCTTTTGGTGGAAAATTAACTTATACTGATTGATATACAAAAAATTGTTCCTTTAAGATCATTCAGTAAAATTATGCTGATTGGTCATATAAATCGACACAATTTTGCCAAATTTGCCAAATTGGTAAAAATTGGCAATAANCACTGGTCGAAATCAAAACTTTCGACCGTTAAGAGCTTTCGGCATAATTTTTGCCGATTGGTCATATGATTCGTCACATTTTTTGACCAATGGCAAAAATCGGTAAAATCAATTACAAATTGACTGATACTAATTGTTAAACAAAAGCTTGTTCAGTCTTTTGGTGGAAAATTAACTTATACTGATTGATATACAAAAAATTGTTCCTTTAAGATCATTCAGTAAAATTATGCTGATTGGTCATATAAATCGACACAATTTTGCCAAATTTGCCAAATTGGTAAAAATTGGCAATAATTCGGCAAATCAGTTGTTGAAATTATCAGATGATTAAGATTGACATTTTACAGAAACTTTTTTAAACTTTTTAAACTTTTCGCATCCTTTCCTCCCTCTCTTTCGTCCTTTTTCCTTTCCTTTTTTACACCTTAGTTCTTCATATAAATGTACACATTGAATTTGGTAACTTTTTATTAAATTAAAAAAGTTTTGAAATTTCTTTAAAAAAACGTTTTTTAATGTTAAAAAACATTTCTTTTTTATACTTTTAGTGAAAAAAATCAGTTCCGGCTTGGATACCGATATTACAGGTAAAGTTTCAAAAAATTTCGAAACTTTCTTTTAAAAAAAAAACGTTTTTAGATAAAAACGTTTCTTTTTTATATTTTTTGCAGGAAATCGGTTCCAGTGTGGATACCGTTTCCCTAGATAAAGTTTTGAAAGATTTTTGAAATTATCTTAAAAAAAACGTTTTCTAACTAAAAAACGTTTTTTTTTCATTTATTATGGTAGGAAATCGGTTCCAGCGTAGATACTAATATTCCAGGTAAAGTTTTGAAAATTTTCAAAACTTTAATATAAAAAACGTTAAATATTAACGTTTTTTTTTAATTTTTTTGTAGGGATATCGGTTCCGGCGTGGATACCGAATCCCAAGGTTAAGTTTTGAAAAAAAAGTTTCAAAACTTTCTTAAATAACGTTTTTTAACAAAAAAAACGTTTTTTTTTTTATTTATTTTTGTGGGAAATCGGTTCCAGCGTGAATACCGTTTCCTAGGTAAAGTTTTGAAAATTTTCAAAACTTTAATATAAAAAACGTTATATTTAACATTTTTTTTTATTTTTTTTTATAGGAATTCGGCTCCAACGAGGACGCCGATATTCCAGGTAAGTTTCGAAACAAATGTTTTGAAACTTTTTTAAAAACTTTTTTTTTATTTTTTTATATAGGAAATCGGCTCCAACTTGGATGCCGATATTTCAGGTAAGTTTCGTTTTCGAAACTTTGATAAAAAAATGTTAATTTTAATTTCTAATGTTTTTTTTTATTCTTTTCCTTTCTTTCGCCCTTATTCTTCTATTGGGCGAAAAATTTTTTTTTAAATTTATATTTTTATTTTTATAGGTTCAGCTTTCAGTTCTTGACTTCTTGGGCTTTGAATATATACTAGATGAGTTTCGAAAACTTTGAAACTCTAAAAAATATTTTTTTAATTTTTTTTTTCTTCTTTGTAGTAGGTTTCGGCTTGGGGCTTTGGATATATTGGTGAGTTTTGAAGTGAAATAATCGAAACTCAAAAAAAAAAACATTTTTTTTTTAATTATTTTTTTTCTTCTTTGTAAGTTTCAGCTTCCGATTCTTGGGCGTTGGATATATAGATGAGTTTCGAAAACTTTGAAACTCTTTAAAATAATTATTTTTTTTAATTTTTTTTTTTATATTTTGTAGGTTTCGGCCTCCAGTTCTTGGACGTTGGATAGGTGTGTTTCAAAGTTTTGTTTTCTTTTCAAAACTTTTTTAGTAAAAAACTAATCGTTTCTTTCTTACAAATTATTTTATCGAAGAAACTTTAATTGTTTCTTCCTTTTTTTTGTAGATTTCCACTTCAGATTTTTGGTTTGGTAAGTTTCGAAATATTTTGAAACAAATTTTTTTATTAAAGACACGGGTAAAATGATGTTCAATCAGCAATCATGCCGATTTGAGTATATTAGTCAATCCGGCCTTCAATATGTAAAATAAAAAGCAATCGATATTAAAAGCAAATCAGCTGTAAATCAGACAATTTACCGATTAATGTTTATTATTGATATTGAATATTCCGATTGATATTTATTTTTAATTATTTAATAATATTGAAAATTCCAACTGATAATTATTTATGTATTTAGTAATGATTTACTTTATATTACATGTCGAATGTATAATATTGATTCAATAAACATAAAATATATTTTTTTTTTTACCTCAAAGGGCACAGTAATAAACATAAAATAATGCAATTTAAATAAAGCAATGTAAAAAAATTACATGTGAAATCGTCTTCCTATTGGAATTATAGCTATGTATGTAACCGGATTTCTTTTACCTACTTCGAACTTAGCAGATATAAATCGGCTAAATATATTGTGCACTGGTATGATACAGTCTCTGCCGATATTATAAAATTCTTTTTTCCAGATTTCTATATTACAACTATTAACATCATCATCAACCTGGCAATAAAATCTCGTCTTATGAGATGGAGTGAGCAAAAACCACCTTACATACGCTAATCGATGAATTTGTTTCCTTCCAAGCAAACTAACTTCATGTTCAAAGAAATATTGAATTTGACCTGGAAAGAATTCTACTGAATTATTATCTTGCAGGAATTTGGCAAGAATGAACAAATTCTTTGAATATAGTGGCGTATTTGCCAATCCAAATATTTCGGATCCAATTCGGATACGTTTAAATTGATTAATTTGGGGTCGTACAATAATAAATCTGCGGTCAGAATATCTAGCAGTTTCTCGAACAGATTCCGCAATAGATAAAAATTCTAGTTCATAAGCAGCATTGTAATATTCTACTAGAATATTATATATATCGTCCGGTAAACTGATGTTGTTTTTTTTGGGAGATAACATCTCGCCAGGAAAAGGTTCAGTGCCGGTAATTGTATCTTCAATCTCAAGTCGGCAAATCTGTCTGAAATGACAAAGTTCAGCATACTGAAACTTATCATAGATAGCTAGGCTTTCTGAAGTTGCTCGTGGCTGTATCAGCTTTAACGCTTCGGTAAGCTTCGTATTATTTAATTGACTGGATAGGAGGTTGTCAAGCCGCCAATTTTGCATGACTATTCATAATAATTCTGGTTCAATTTGGTGTCTGCTATTTGGAAAGAATCCTAAGTGGGAATGGATAATGATTCTTAGTAAAAGATAAATTTTTATTTTTCACAATCTGCATTTGACTTACCCAAAATACCGTTCATCCTTTCAAACGAATAGCACCAAAAAGAGTATAGCGGGCCGTAGTCCCGACAACATTCAACTATATGAAGAGCCAAGTGAATGTTAGGAGTAATTACCTTCAGACCATAATGCTCTTCAATCAGTTGAGCAACTTGAAGTAATCGAGATTGTGCTTCCTCTAATGCATTATTATCAATAATGCGCGAAACTAATAGGGAACAAGCCCTAACAAAATTTGCCAGGATTTTCTGGTCGGATACTAAAAGTATATCCCACATCAGCGGAATTGCATAAATTAAAATAAATGATTTCCACTGGTCTGCCGTAAAACTGGAAAATTTGTCACCAGTTGCTATTTTATGTGGAATTCTTCCAAGGTCAGCCGGCATCTTAATACTTTTTGCGCGTCTTTCCATCAGCTCAAGATGACATTTCATAATTATTCCATTATCTATCCATAATCTCTTCACAATCCAGTGAGCAATCCCCAAAAATAAATTGTGCATTGGATCAACAATTAGATGTCTCACTGGATTATGGTAAGGAAGGCGTAGTAGTTCAGACCATCTAACATGAATCCTACTGACGTGTTGTTTCCTATCATCTTTTGTCTGCATATGCTTCCAAATAATAGCATTACGCCTATGTTCTGCCGGGTCTCTTGGTCTAAACCAATCGTTCATGTCATCGAAACCACCAAAATTTAGTCTCTGGCCTTCTTCACTACTCGCTCTTTTATAGCACCTGTGACACCCAACTAGTGCCGATATGTGTCCACATAATTTCCTTGCTGCAGGAATGTCATTACTACAGCAAATTACAGCCATTCGCACTTTTCTGCCAGCAGGATACTTATTGGTAACTGGTAAATAAACACCATCCCAAAATTCCAGCAACTGATCTACTATAGGAGTGAGATAATGGTTTATCCGATGTAATTTAACTTCATTTGGACCAGGTAGAAGTCCAAGAGTCAATATATTCTCTTTTTTGAATCGAACTTTCCGTGGGTAAGGTTGCTTGCCGAAACCTAGGGGTTTAGGCAAGATGGCGTTTCGCCGAAAAGCGAAATTCTGCCGAAACTATATTAAAGTTATATTAAAAACTGGCGAAACTTTGGAGAAAGGTGAAACTGCCGAAACTTATTATAAATGCCGAAACTGCCGAAACTCTGCTGAAACTATAATAAATCTATAGTAAAATTTTGACAAAACTAATCGTAGGATTTTAAAGAGGTTTAGACAAGCAACCTTACCCGTGGGAGATTACAAATCACGGCATATATCATGCCGGTGCTATAGGAAGACGACTCGAACGGTTGAAACTAATCTAAGTTTATCATTATACCTAAATGCGAATCAGAAGTTTTAGGCGTAAAAAATCGAGATTGGTCCAAATTATCAGTGTTAGATGGGAAAGTTTTCTATATTTCACCATTGTATATATCGGCCATCAAATCATTTTCGTTATTCCGACTGGCCCATTTTTTCAAAAGTTCCTCGAAACCTGGCCTTTGATACATCGTAGATATTTGAGTCTTTAAACATGGTAACGAATATACCATTTTTGGTCGCCAAATGTATTCGTTGTTCACCGTGATTTTTTCTAGCAATTTCGACTCACAGGGTTTACGTTGATTCTGCATTGGGTGGTTGGGAAATTCAACGTGGGTACATTTAAACTCTGATTGCGCATCATTGCCTGAATTTACCGGAATTATCGCTGCAGTGTCATACAATTTGTTACAATCGGAACATGTCGAGAAGGTTTTTGACTTTTTTTAATTTCTAATAACTTTCTGGCCATGTAAATGGTAGACGGAAACTTTTCAAACCGATTTGAATCTACATCTTTCAAAACAAGCGCAAAGAAGCCAGTCAATGAGTTGATCGCAACATCAGTAAGTTTGAACCTTTCCTGATACTTAAAGATCCAGAGGAGAATCCATGAATCGCTCATGTTTACATTCATATTAGGATGTTCTTGGTCTGAATTGTAATTAAGATCGAGAAAATTGGGCTTGAAAATAGATCAAGATCTTCCTCATCAAAGAATAGTTCACCATTATCTCTAGCCGCATCATCATCATTAAATAGGTGAGAGCCTTCTCCATCACTAGAACTGACTTCTTGCTCAAGTTCATTTTCTGGAATGATGGTAGTATGATCATAATTTTTTTGATAACGATCATACCTTCTTCGCTTTTTTCTAACATTGGTAGGATTTTGATTGTGAAAATCTTCATCAGAACGATCGTTATTATCATCTATCATTACAATATCACCATCATGAAGACTTTGAGAAGATGTAGCAACATTTTGATCGTGATTGTCATTAATCATTACAATATTATCATCACAAGCATTTTGAGAAGAGGCGGCAACGATCGTTTTAATTCCAATCGGAACAGATCTAGAATGTTTCTTTGAATCAGATGGTGCTTTATTGCTTGTCTTTTCTTTATCATCCTTCCTTTTTGATATATAAGCTTGCAGCCGTTTTTCTTCCTGTTCATGTTTCTGTTTTGTTCTTGTATCGACAAGTTTGCTATTACATTTTTTACAATGGCATGGTACTTTTGGCCTAACTTTAGTAGATTTAGTTGCTATTGTTGCCGCTGAACGTATTTCATTAGAATTTTTCATTGTATGTATTATTTGTTTAAGCAGAAAATGCGATAAGGACAATATATAAGCTAAAACTTATTAAGCTTATATAAATTAATGCAACGATTGACTGATCAATGGGTTTAATAGACAATATAGTTTATATAGTTTGTACAAAAAAGTTTATTAAAAATAGACTAGTAGTATTTAAGATCTACTTGTACAGAAAAGCTTATTAAATAGGCTATTAAAAGGTATATAAGATCTTCTAAAGCTTCTTTTTACTTTCATTTTTTTACTTACTGACTTTCTTTTACTTTTTTCGCCCACTATTAATCATGACTCATTATAGTAAAAATCATAAACATACTTCTAAGTACAACAGGGGTAGAAGACATTCAGATAATGAGCGAAGAAATGACAGAAACCGTTCCACACATTACCGATACAAAAAAATCAAATATGATAAGAACCAGTGAGAATAAATTTATAAATTTTATATAAACGATAATATTATTAAAATATATAAAAACTTATTATTATTTTTTTTTAGTAAACATGAACGTTCTTACTACAATCGGCGTCATCGCTCACCATCTTACGATACATCTTATAATACTTCTCAATCTGAGAATTCGGATTCGGATTCAGATGATTCACTATTACATAAAAAACGGTTACAAAATAAACGCGAAGGAAATGATAATCCGAGTAAATTACAGTATAAATATTATCAATTTCAATCGTCAATATGCATCGGGTATACTGATTTGTCTATCTTTTATTTATAACAATTATATTACTAATATTTATAAGGAATTATTAAACGAGGAAGGGAAAGAGAGGAAACTACGGAAAGAAAAAAACAATCGTCATCAATTGAGATTATCATGACTCAAAAACAAGAAAAAACCAGGAAAATTGCGTCAAAATATACCGAAGAAGGAAATTCACAGAGTCCAAATAAAGTTCCTTTTCATCTTCAAATACCTGATTTTATTTCGAATGAAAGACAAACTATGCCAACTACGCCGAGTGCTACGGAAAGGAGTATGGTCAGGTCAGCGTGAGGAGTAGAGTATGGACCCTGTGTGACAGTTTACTCAAGTGATAAATAACACGACGGGCCAAACACGTGATTAAGAGTGGGCCAAGCTGCTATTCATCACCTGAGTATGGTTCACACCCCTTATGCTACACACCACCAAATGTCACCATACGCTACTCAACACCCTGACCCGACCATACTCCTTTCTGTAATACCGAACTACGCCCATCGCATCTTCAAATTCGGCAGTACGAATTCCGAAGGATAATATTCGGTCACCTGTCAACATACAGTATCATTCCAATACCACCGTTAACCAGTCCAGAGCTCGAACGAAATATGAAAGTAGTGAAGAATTTTCTGAATCTGAGGAAGAATCCTCCAGTTCTGAGTTGAAATCGTCTTATTCCAAAAAAGAATTTAGACAAAAATCGGCACATCAGAAGTCATCAAAATACTTACATGTTAGAGACATGCCTAATGACCTTAGAGATGCTTTAAGGGCAAGTAAATTTATTTGTATCGACTTAGTTTAAATTTTACTAAAATAATTAATATGTTTAGAGAGAGGTATTTTGGATAATCGAAAGAATTCCAGCCGAAAGCTGATTGAATTTGGATAATACCTTTGAATCACAACGCAATCTTGTCAACAGTACGATCGTTCCAACCGTAATGAATGCTCTGGATTCTGATACCTTCCCAGTCACGGAGGGTGTCATATATGATATCATTCACATCCGTCATAAACATCAACATGAAGAGCACCTGAAGAAGTCACGAAATGAAAAGTACCAGGATGAGCAAACGCGACAAAAAAATTTGAATAGCCGCAGAAATGCTGTAAGTAGTAAATGAATACAACGTATTAATGTATTTAATCTCAATTTAATTTATCTTTAATTGCAGAAGCTCATTTCCCGGGCTAGAACGATGGAGAATTTACAGGCGGCTAGGGATCCTTTGATTCAGAAATTTAAAGAAAGTGAACTTGCCCAAATTAAAAAGAAATCCGTATTCCACTTACCAGAAGTCTCTGAGACGGATAAGGAAGATTCTGGAGGTAAACGCAAAATTGTTGTTAAAGAACTTGCATGGCGTTTATCAACTGTAAGTTTATTTTATAATTAAATGTTGATACCAAATATAAATCGGTATATACACTAACAATTTAAATATTCTTATAATTCTTACAGCTTCAATTATTTTTAAGAAATTATATTGACCGATTATTTGCAGAAACTTCAAAGGTTCCAAAAAAATGGACTAGGGTTTACAGCTCTGATTTTTATGAAAAAGAAACATCGGCGCCTTTTTGTGCACCAAAATGGACGATTAGGAACTATCAAGGCTCCTTAAAAGATATCGTTGGTAGAGCTTGCAAGAACAGATTATCAAATGTGTTTCCAGATAAACTGGTTGAAGATCAAGAAAATTAATAATAGGCACAGTAGTTCACATAATAAATTTATTTGTATATATACGAATTATATAAAATTGCTTTTTAATATTACATAAAGTAGGCAAATATGACAAATAAATAAAAATTATTTCATTCCGATTGTTAATTAAAATGGCCTAATTTGATTTACTGCAATTTATCATTTGATGTTATATATAAAAGAATCGATACCTATCCACTATAACGATTACTTAATATTTGTTAAAATAATGTGGGCTTATTATAGTCTATTCTAACCCGATTTATGTTGGATTTTGTCCTAATTAATGTATTATTTATTGTTCCGATTGGTATCTGATTATTTGCCGATTTCTGTCATTAATTAACTGCAATCGGCACTTAACAACAAGATCCAATATTCACAAATCGGCATTCTATCAGAGCCTAATAGGAAAGGCTATTAGCATATGATTGGGGCTGATTTGTCATCATTAGACTGGTGAGACTCAGTTTGCTAACCGTTTTTTTAATTTTTTTGTAGATTCTCTCTCCTTCAGATTTTATCGGATGGGTGGGTAAGTTTCGAAATATTTTTGAAACTTCATTTTTTTTATTATAAAAAATGAATTACTAACTGTTTCCTCCTTTTCTGGTAGGTTTTTTTCAGACTTTTATCAGGTTAAGTGAGGATGATGAATGGATGATGGATGGTGGACGGTGGATGGTGTATATAGATAGATGATAGATAGCTATATATTAATTTAATATGTAATTTTTAATAAAATGAATTAATAAAATTTAATTAATAAAATTTAATTAATAAAATTTAATTAATAAAATTTAATTAATAAATTATTATAAAATTAGAATCAGCTAAATGTACAAAAATCGGTAATAATAATTATTAGGTTTATTAACAATCATCAATTTGATTTTACCGATTTGTTGCCAATTTCTACTGATCGATTTGTTGACAATTGGCAGGTGTTACGGTGCAAATCGTCCATAAAATTAGTTGCCAATTTTTTTGGTACTGATCGGCTAAGGTCAGACCAAATTTCGTCCAACATTCGGCAATTTAAAATTTTGCCGAAATGGACTATTCTGACCAGTGTTGGGACATTAAAATCACGTGATCTTAAATATTAATTATGGCCTATTAGGTGTTATCTTGATAAGACAAATTGTAAACTTAGACAATTTTTGGACGGGACGTAGATGGGACATGGACGGGACACTAAAATTTTGGTGGGACATGTCCCATGTACAACACTGTATATAACGTGTAAGTCATATAAATTGTAAATCAGTTCTTTTTTTACTAACAATCTAAAGCTTTAAATATAATGAACATAAACAATAGAGTAATACATAATTACTTCGAGCGAAAGACTACAGATTGGAATATTTAGGAGTTTTAGACGAATGCGAAAAGATTATTTTTTATATTATTTTTTATATTATTTTTTATATTATTATTTTTTTATTTTTCATATTATTTTTTATTCATATTATTTTTTAGAAAATTTCTAAATTTACATAGGATGTTTGTACACAGGTCATATAAATATAATTTTTAATAGACTAATTTTTTGTTTTTTTAATTTGAAATTGAATGCTACTGACATTATACTCTTTTACTTTTTATTCTTATTATATTACAGATAAATATATGTATTTTCACCTGCTCTGCAACTAAGGTTGCTTGCCGAAACCTAGGGGTTTAGGCAAGATGGCGTTTTGCCAAAAAGCGAAATTCTGCCGAAACTATATTAAAGTTATATTAAAAAACTGGCAAAACTTTGGAGAAAGGAGAAACTGCAAAAACTTATTATAAATGCCGAAACTGCCGAAACTCTGCCAAAACTATAATAAATCTATAGTAAAATTTTGATGAAACTAATCGTAGGATTTTGAGGAGGTTTAGACAAGCAACCTTATTTGCAATACAGGTCGAAAAGTGAAAAATCAGGCATCAATCAGTCACCAATCAGGCAGTTTGCTAACTTTTGATCCAGTTATTAGAAAAGAATGAAATATAGCTCATTGGAATCGTCTCAACAAGACAAATCTAATGGTAGTAAAATCGCATCTCTAGGATTAATAGTTAATAAAAAATTAAATAAAATATAAATGATACATTTTATTTTTATATTTTACTTAATTTCTCATCAAGTATTAATCCTAGAAATGCGATTTTACTACCATTAGATTCGTCTTGTTGAGACGATTCCAATGAGCTATATTTCATCCTTTTCTGATCACTGGATCAAAAGTTAGTGAACTGCCTGATTGGTAACGGTATTTGGCAAAAATGCCAATCAGTCACCAATCAGTCACCAATCAGCTACCTGATTGGTGACCGATTGGTGCCTGATTTTTCACTTTTCGACCTGTGCAAGTTTATTTAAGGCATTAAAGAAGATTTTGAATGCCGTTTTTAATCTACTAATATAACCCGTGTTTAAACACCTCGTGTATAAATAGAAATTGCCTATTTTTTATATTATTTTCAGAATATTTTTGTAAAATACCAGAAACTATAAATATAAGTAAAAATTAAATAATTTTCAACAGCAATTTTACTTAATAAAAATTAATGTTAAATAAATTTATTGTTAAATATAAACTTTTGATTGTTTAGCCTTTTTTTATAATAAAAAGCACAAAGTAATTTATAAAATAATAAAATAGGAGAAGTTTGTAAATAGAATTTATAAGTATTAAAATTTTTGAAATTGAAATTTTTGAAATTTGAAAAATAAAGTTAAGTTAAAAACAAGCAAAATATATTAATGCTTTATTGAGAATATTTATGAGAATAGATTATCTTGTTTATTTATAAATGGTAAATGTGAATGACAATATTAAACTAATAATTCATTATTATATATACTAAGCTCTTAAATTATATTTATTTTACTATAAAAAAAATAAGGAATTATATTTCTTTTGAATCTTATAATTTACAATTATATACTTAGACCAGGATTCCAGACATTACATATATAACTCACATTTAAGTTTTAGCAAATTCAATCAAAATTAAGTTAAACTCATAATTTTAGATAGAGCAAATTAATTGAAAATTAATTAATAGTTATAATTATAGGTTTTAGTAAATTGTGTTGTTTTTACAAAGTCATATTTTATATTTGAGCAAATTGGTACTTTTTTTTAAATTTAACTTATCCTTTTTTTTCAACTTTTATAGATAATATTTTTAAAAATATTAATTTCAAGGCTTGGATTATATTTTGGCTAAAATCAAGTATAATTTTGGCCAAAATTAAGCATAATAATGCAGGTCAAAAATTGTCTGATTAGTTTCGCAACAATAATTATTTATATTTAATTTATTATTTTTATTAATTATTATTTTTAATTTTTAGCAAATTAGATCTATTTTAGTGAGAACAAAAAGTGCTAAATTCATGTAAATCAATTATAAATTATATATATGATGTTTGAGATCATCTTAGATCTAATATAATAATTTTTAAATAAAACAATTTAAGCATATAATTCATAATATAGTTGTATATATTTAATATGATATAAATAAATATTTTTTTTTTTACATTAAATATTAATTTACCTGTTTTTTATTTTTTTATATATTTTATTTTTTAAAACTTTGGAAACTTATATTATGTAAATACTATATTTTTTTATTATTTATTTCTTTTTATTATTTTTATCATATATATTATAAATAATAAATATTAATATTTTATATTTTTTTAAATTTTTATAACAAATTTATATATATTAATTTTATATATTTTGCCATTTTTTGTATAAATAATATAAACTTGTTATTTTTAGTTAGGTATATATTACTTTATTTATCAGTTTATATACAAAGAATTTTAAAAACAAAAAAAAAATTTTTTTTTTATTTTAAGCTAAAGAAATAAAATTATTTGTTTCTTATGAAAAAAAAATTGCTAAATTTGATCCAGTTACCCAGAAAAAAAATTTATTTTTCAAAAAAAATTTAGCTAATTCCTAGAAGATGATTATAATTTATAAATTTTTTATCTAGGTCACAAGGTGAAAAAAAAATTATTTTTTTATGATTATGATTGGTCAAAACTAAAATCACATGATTAAATAAAATAAATTTTTTATTTTTTTGTAACATTTACATGATCCGTCCAGTCATGAAAAACAAACAATTTTATTTACTTGGCTTTATAAATAAATATAATGTAAAAATATAATAAAACTATTTAAAATTTAATTATTTCTATTGATTATAAATATTTAAATATTAAAATCTTTAAATTTTTTATAAATATTTTATTTTTTCAAAATTAAATATTATATAAAATTAATCAATCAAAATTTAAATATCATATTTTAGATTATACAATCGACCTCCTATATAGTCACCCTGTATAATCACAATATATAAAATTCCCCTTTATAAGCACACCATATTTTGGCCTAATATACTAATAAATATATTAGAAAAACCTCCTCTATAGTCATAACAAATGACTTTTTTTATAATCACACCCTTTTTTTTCAGTCCTAAAGGGTGTGACTATAAAGGGGGCTAACTGTATATCTGAACTTTTTTTGTTAGATATATTAGAAGAATTTGATATATTATTAAAAAATTTGTATATTATTTATATTATTGTAATTTTATATTTATTTTATTAAAATAAGAATTGTATAATTAATAAATCATATATAGTTGGATTATATATATAATAATTATTAATTGCATCCTTTTATTATTATTCAAAAAGCATATATGCCAATTTTTGGAATTAGTCTAAATTAAGATTTTTAATTTAAATTAAATATGTAATATAACTTAGATTTAATAAAAAATAAAAAAAAATTTTTTAATTAATATTTAAAAATAATGGTAATAACCACTTCTTTTTTCCCATCACTGCTCATCACTTTTCCATCATTTTTCTATTCACTTTTATTAAATATGACAAAAAAGTTTATAAGCATATATAGCAGTTATTTTTAAATGATAAGTAAAAGAAAAAACTTAATATTTTATATATATAGAAAAGACATATTTTTTCATAATTTTTAGCTTTAATTTATTGTTTTTTCTTTGTAAAAAATACATACAAATAAAAAATAATTATAATGTAAAATAGTTGTAAAATAAATAATAAGATATTTTTTTTAAAAAAAATAACTAATTATATATTTGTTTTTTATCTTTTAAAATTATTTTATTAGATTTATTCTACTAAAATCCTTAAATGGCAAATAAAATCTTTTAAATAAAGTAAAAGAATTTGGGATTCTCTTATGAAAGCATTTTTTGGTAAAAAATAAAATTTTCAGATCAGACTTTATGCAAGTGATAAAATCATGCATTATTATTCCTGGAGATATGCTAATATCATCATTTTATATTAATTTGAAAGCTGAGAATTTGCTCTATTGTAGGAATTAAAGATTAGGAAAATTGGATCACTGGATGAGGTGAAATTAACGATTAAATTTAAATCAAATTTAAAAATTAAAAATAAATATATTGGACGTAATTATTTATAATCCAGTAATTCAATTCATTTGATTTTAGGCTTATTAGATAAACCTCAATTTTCTCTTTCAAATAAATATAATTTCATTTATGTAGCTTACACTTCCCGGTAAAAAGTATCTGACCACTTTAACTTTGCAAAATTAAAACACATATTTTGACGGTTAATTTTTCAACAATTTATTTATAAACATTATAAAAAATTTATATCATTTTATTCAGAAAAACTCAAATTTTTTATTAATATCTAGTTGGGTTACCACAGCTATCTAAAATAGCTTAAATCCTTCTTGGCATGCTATCAACCAAATTAATTAAAATTTTGGACTCAATGTTATTCCATTTCTCTTTAAAAACTACCATTAATTCTTTAATATTTTTTGGATGAGGTTTATGCGCCTAAACTCTTCTTTCCAAAACATCCCATAAATGTTCAATCGGATTAAGATTCAGGCTCTGTGCAGGCCACAGAATAGTTGATATTGAATTATCCTCTTTCCATTGTGAAACTGTTCTTGCTCTAAAGATGTAATATGTAATTATTTTTAGAAGGTTATAAAGTTGCAACTATTACAACATACATACAACACTTTTGTTGTAATTACAACACAATATTATAATTATTATATAGTATTATAATTACTACTAGTATTGTAATTATTATATAGTATTGTAATTATTTCCAATTATATAAATATGTATTATTATATATTAATTATTTCTTTTATGCTGATATTTGTTCTATAAAAACTTATTTTTGTAATTTTTATTTTTCAAAAAGGAAATTTTTGAACAATTATAAGTGTTGTAATATATTACAACACTTTAACTTTAAAAGTAGTAATAGGTTGCAACCCTTACTATTATAACACAAGGTAGTAATTATCAATTACATACTACATCTTTATCTTGCTCTATGGACTGGCGCATTGTCATCTTGAAAAAAATATTGCAAATTGTTTTTTAAATTATTATAAAAGGGTAGAGGATGATTTTCTAATATGTTAATATATACTAAACCTGTAATACTTCTAGAAACTTGAATTAAAGGACCAAGTTGATTTTTTGTGAAATACTTCCATACCATAACTCCTTGATTTCCAGATTTTACAGTCAGAATCAAGCAATTAACATCATATTTTTCATGTGGTTTACGCCAGACCCAATGGTGTGCATCATTCTGAAATAATAAAAAGCAAGATTCATTATACATGCTGCCCAAATTATTTTGGGATGTCATAATTCATTTAGTTTATATATAATTTACTATGTAAAGTGCCAAAATAATTTGGGATGCCATAATTGAATTTGGAATTTTACTTATAATTACGGCAGTTCAAAATAATTTGGGTAGCATATATAAGATTTATCACTCCATATGATGAAATCCCATTCAGTATCCTATTCTTTTCTTTTACAATACTAATCTAACCTTTTTTTATAATTAGCCTTAAAAACAAATGGTTTTCTTTTCCCTGCCCTACCAAAATACTTTTCAGAATGTAAAATATGCTTTATAGTACTATTAGTCTATTACATACTGGATTTGGTAAACTATTATTAAATTTTTTTGTTATTTATCCAGCCAAAGATTGTTGTTTATCTTCTTTAACGATTCTTACAATACATTTTATATCTCTTTCTGTAAGTTTGGTGAACATGAAGCAGCTGAAATTTTTTCTGATTTTTTGTAATCCGTTATAGTGTCATAGATAGTTATTTTTGGGAAGTCAAGTATTTCACTAATGTTTCGTTCACTATAACCTCCTTTTTAAAGACCAATAATCTCTTCTCTTTCAAATTCAGTAAGTTTGTGCTTTTTGAGCATTTTTACAAATTTTTTTTTTTATTTTTGGGTAGCCGAAGGTATTAGCTACATGGAAAAAAAATTGTTTATATTTGCATAGTTAATATTGGCGTAATTTTAATTTTAATGGAAATAATCAGCAATGATTGACAGGGTGGTCAGATACTTTTTACCAGAAAGTGTACATCTACAGGTATTTAATAAATTTTTTTATATCAGATTTTATCTAATTTATAAAATTTTATATTAATAATATAATTGATGATTCCTGAACATCTATATATATTAAACGAATTATTTTAAATTTATTTTAAAGATAAAGTTGCCATTACCTTAAAGAGCAAAGATCATTCAAATTGAATCATTACATGTGAAGTAATTAATGATCAAATTTAGATAAAATTTAATAAATATACTGAATGTGATTACTGAACAACTAGTGATTCAATTCACTTGATTTTAGATTCATTAGATAAATCTTGATTTTCTCTTTCAAACGAATATAAATTTATTTATATAGCTTATTTTTACGAAAAATTATCAATGATTTTGTCATGAGAGTTATATTTGATCTTTTAAATTTTAATGATATCTTATATTAAAAAAAAATCAAAAATTATATAATTAATTAGTTTTTTTTTGCATTATCTAGTATAAATTTATTATTCTTATATAAATAATAATTTATATTTGCTTTAATAAAATTATTTTTGTGTAAAAAAATTAGATTTCAAGAATTAGCGCATATGTTTTAATAGTAATTTATAAATTATTTATTGTAAATTTTTAAAAATTTAATAATTATATTATATTCATAATTTCTTTTTTTTTAATAAATAATTTATCAAATAATATATTAACTTCTTTGACTCTATAATTTAAGTTATTATCTTTATTAATATTTTTTATTCTTTTTATTTTTATTTTTTTTTTTCTATGTAAATTTAATATAATTAAAAATATAAAATTATTCAACAAATATGATTTAAAATATTATCCAAATATAATAAATAAAATAAAATAAATAAAAAATACAAAAAATTCAATTTGCTATTAATATATAATAATATAGTAAATTTGAAATAAGATTTAATAAATTTATATAATAATGAAAATTTGTATATAAATTTTTTTTTAAATAATAGATTATTTAATATTATATATAAGTAAAAATCATTTAAATTTAAGTTAAGTTGTTTTATATAGCATAATTCTTTAAAGTTTGAAATATATTTTCAGGGTAATTTTATAATAGTATTTAAATAATTACATGCAAATATATAATTATAATTTTCTTTTAATTTGCATATATTTAATAGTAAATATAAAAATTATATTTTCATCTATATTTCTAATAAATTAAGTACACTATTAATTTCAGTTACAAATTTATTAATAAAGTTCTTAAAGTCATCATCTTATAAAATAATTATAATTTCCTAAATTTTAAATTTAAGTTGAAAAAAAATCATATAAATTAGATTAATAACTTTTAAAAATTTTTATGTGCTTTTCTTTTTTAATTTTATAAAAGTTTTATAATATTACTATTATTATATAATGTTTGTAGTTGTTTTTTATATTTAATAAGAAAATCCATAATTAGTTTTTTCTGAAGACTAAAGTAATTTCCATTAATTATACTATATATTTTAGATATATTTATTATTCATTTAATTTTTTTAATATAAATCACATTTTGAATTAATTGTTTTATTTCTTATAATTTATAAAGTTAATATTAAAATATAGACTTTTAAAATTTTAAAAATTATTTATTAAATAATTGAAAATATAATTTTAAAATATAAGATATTTTTATATTTATTAAATTGTTTTATCATTTTCATTATAATCTTGATAAAATTGCCAAATAACATCATGGCAGATTTATGAAACCCTAAATTTATCTGTCATGTCAAATTAAATAAATATTTGACAGTTTTTTAGTCATCAAATTTCCCAAATTTATTAGTAAACAGTCAAAAATAAGCTCTAAAAAATTTTTTGTATCCCAAATCTTGCGTCTAACCAATTTTTTCGTTATTTAATCAATTTTTCCGGTGTTAAAGGTGCGTCATATTTGACATTTTTTAGGAAAAAGCTTAATGTTTCTGTAAGTCAATTTTAATTCCTGAGGGCACAGCAAGATTTTTGCCAAATTTCATAAATTCACCGCAATGAGATATATATATATATATATATATATATATATAAATTAAATTAAAAAGGTATTTTAATTTAAAAAACTAGTATTTACTTTTAATTTTCCAAAAATTTTAATTTATTATCATAATATATGTTAAATGTATTTCACAAAAAATTTGATTTTTTTTAATGATCTATATATGCTTTATTGATATTAAGTTTATATACTATCTATATAAACAAATTATCATAAGCTATATTCATTTAATAGGATGTAATCATCAAACATTTTACAAGAAATTTAAATAAATTTATTTTATTTTTTTTTATTAAATAAAACTATAGCTCTATTTTTATTTTAGATATATATGATATTATTATCTATTACTTATATTTAGCATATAGATAGATTAAAAAATTAGAATTGTTAAAAATCTGGTTTAAGGTTGCTTGCCGAAACCTAGGGGTTTAGGCAAGATGGCGTTTCGCCGAAAAGCGAAATTCTGCCGAAACTTATTATAAATGCCGAAACTGCCGAAACTCTGCCGAAACTATAATAAATCTATAGTAAAATTTTGACGAAACTAATCGTAGGATTTTGAAGAGGTTTAGACAAGCAACCTTAATCTGGTTTAAATCATACTTGAAATTAAAGTTAAACTAAATTAATAAAATCTTAAGTTAAATTAAATTAAACTGCAACTTAAAAATTTTTAAGTTAAATCAGACCTGTCTCTTATACACATCTAGATGTGTATAAGAGACAGGGTTTAGACAAGCAACCTTAATCTGGTTTAAATCATACTTGAAATTAAAGTTAAACTAAATTAATAAAATCTTAAGTTAAATTAAATTAAACTGCAACTTAAAAATTTTTAAGTTAAATCAGACTGTAATTTAAAACTTTTAAGTTAAATAAACTGGCTATAATTTGAAAATTCAGCTTATTTTAATAATATTATATTACTATTTTTGAATAAATAATTATAAAATTTAATAAATATAAATGTTATTTTATTTTTTATTTATTATTAGTGAATAAATAATATTATATTAATATAATATAATACAGTCAACTCTCTTTATAGTCACACATTTGGGATAGTCCATATTTGGTGATTATAAAGAAATGTGACTATATAAAAAATTTCTTATATTAGTACATCATAATTCCGGCCAAAAATTAACATAATTTTAGCCAAAATTATACTTAAAACTTTATTGTATCGTAACTTCGCCAATATTAATCGTAGAGAGATGATCTTACCGCCATTCGATTCGTCTTGATGAGACGGTTCTAATGGTATAAAATACGTCGAAATCCAATCACTAGATTAATTTCCGAAATTAAAAAAATATTAATGGTTTTTGTGTAATAACTCTGCCAATATTGATCCTAGAAAGACGATCTTACTACCATTCGATTCGTCTTGATGAGACGAATCTAATGGTATAAGATACATCGAAATCCAATCACTAGATCAATTTCCGAAATTAAAAAATATTAAATGGTTTTTAAGTAATAACTCCGTCAATATTGATCACAGAGAGATGAGCTTACCACCATTCGATTCGTCTCGATGAGGCGATTCCAACGAGCTATAAATCGTCTTTTTACAATCACTAGGTACTGAGAAATCTAGCAAAATGTTAAATGGCGCAGTAAACGTAAATCAAGAAATATTATAATGCTGATGTTCAACATTTTGTTGAATAACTCGTCAGTCAGTGATAAGAAAAGGATAAAACTACCACCATTCGATTCGTCTCAGTGAGACGATTCTAACAAGCTATGATACATCTTTGTACGATTATTAGATGCCAAGTTATTTAATATATTCTTTATATAACTGTGATTATAAACGGTTCTTTTTAATATAAGATTTTTGAGGATAGGTGTGATAGTGACTATAGATAGATTGTGACTATATAGGATAAATTTTAATAATAAAGTGTTTTGAACATTCAACTGGTGTGACTATATAGTAGAATGTGACTATAATGGGAGTGACTATAGAGGGAGTTGACTGTAATTATAAACTTGGCAATTTCAGAATAATTTCAGGATTTGGCTTTTAGCCAATCATTCCAAAATGAAACTCCAGCTGAAAGTAAAATTGAATATTAAAATTTGTAAAATTCTATTAGTTTTACTGATTTTATAAATTTTACAAATTGGAATTTTTAAATTAAACTGGATTGCAACTTGAAATTTTTTAAATTAGACTGAGCTAAAC